AAAAAAAAAAAAAGCAAAAGCAAAAAAAACCCTACCAGAAACCAGAAGTAGAGAGATTTACCTTCTAACTTATGGACCTTGAAATGTCTGTCTTTTTAAGGCAGCAGGGAGGCCTGGGTGCGAAGCATGTTGGCTTGGCCCTTCACGGTCCTGGAGGGAGGTAAGGCTTGCCTTGGAAGGCGTGCCCTGAAGAGGTCTTGGGTGAAGCCTTGACCTTGAAGAAACCAATCACAAAAGCGGGCGTTGGGTCAGGGTTAGCCTTGGAGGTGAAGCATCCACATGGAACCATCTCAGGAAGCCGCATCACCTCTTCCAAGGCTCTCACTTCCAGGAGTCTGTCCTTGCAAGAGGCAATCATTGTTCCTGCTTTTTCATTGTCATTAAATTCTGTCGAAACCCGTTATCATTAGCTCCACCTGTAAATTTGTGCCGAGGAGACAGAATAATGGTGGTGATCTCGGAGTTCGTCACCATCGTGACATTCAGCGTCCTCTGAATGGTGCTATGTCAGCAAGCAGGTCGACGCTTGAAGTGGATTTTAAGGTTATTTTAAGTATGGAGTTATTTTTATAGAAGGGGAAAATGTATGTGAAAGTCCCCATTTGTATATTTCTCTCCTAAAGTTGTGTCTCCTTGGGAATTGGGTTTGATTTTTATTATTTAATACCTCACTCTGGCCCATCCCCCATCCCCACACTTCCTGTATCCTCGCCCCTCTGCCTGTGCCTGGACGCTCCGCATGGAAGTGCATATCTGTAGCAGCTCGGGCCTCATCTCAGCGCTCAGATCCCTCCTGCCACCAGAATCCACTGGCCTCTGTCTCCTTCTTGGGTTTTCCTGCTGTCCTCGTTTACGTCTCTGTCCACATGTCAGTGTATTAAAACCCCAGTGGGTTCCGTTTCTCCTTTTCCCTTCTGGATTTTAAATAAATATTTAAAACTGAAGCAATGGAATGACGTGCCTGTGGTCCTGTGCTGCTTCTCAAAGCTTGGGGGTGGGGGACAGTTTCTGGCTGGGCTGGGACAGGGAACGGGAGGAGATGCTCAAAGGATGCCCTCCTTACGCTGTAATAAATACCACAAACTTGGTGGCTTCAAGCTTGTCTCTTAGAGACAAACTTTACTCAACTGCAGCACTTTGGTCTGTGCCCCTGTGGTCACACGTGTTCTCCTGAGGTGTCTCTGTGCTCCATCTTCTCTTTATGAAGACCCCATCATATTGGATTAGAGCCCACTCTCATGACCCCACCTTAACTTGCTTTCATCTGCAGAGACCTTACCTCCAAATGAGGTCACATTCACTGGTGCCAGGGGTTAGGACTTCATATCTTTTGGGGGGACACAATTCAACTCTTAACACAGGGAAGGGGGTACAGAGAGGTTAACATGAGCAATTTGTGGTTAACTACACATAAAATTTGCCACTCATGACAGTACGTTCACAATGGGACGCAACATCACCATGATCTATTTGCATGTTATTTTCATCACCCCTAAAGGAAAGCCATACCCATTATAGCAGTCACAGCCTCCTCCAACCCCTGGAGAATCACCAGCCTGCTTTCTGTGTCCACGGCTCTGCCTGCTCCAGACGTGTTGTATTACACTGGTGCCAAAGTAATTGCGATTTTTGTCTTTGCTTCTAAATGGCAAAAACCGCAATTACTTGGGCACCAACCTAATACAAGTGGAGTCATACAGTACGTGGCCTTTTGTGACCCTGGCTTCTTTCACTCAGCATGATGTTTTCAAGATTCATCCGTGTCATAACGTGTATCAGTACTTCATTCTTTTTATGGTTGAATGGATAAACCACATTTTGTTTACCTTCTCATAAGTTGATGAACATTTGAGCCAAATTGGTGGACATTTGGGTTGTTTCTACCTTTGGCTGTTGTGAATAATCCTTCAAAAGGAATAATCCGGGCCTGTCAGATTCTCGAGAGAGGTCGCAATAGCATCTGCTATGGAAGAAGTGAGTGGGTGCAAGTCTGGGAGATGGGGTTGCAATTTAGAAAACAAAAATATAGGATGCCCAGATGAATTTGAATTTCAGATAAACAATAGCTACTTTTTTTTTTTTTTTTTTGAGATGGAGTTTTGCTCTTGTCGCCCAAGCTGGAGTGTGATCTCGGCTCACTGCAACCTCTGCGTCCCGGGTTTCAGCGATTCGCCTGTCTCAACCTCCTAAGCAGCTGGGATTACAGGCGCATGTGACTATGCCCAGCTAATTTTTTTGTATTTTTAGTAGAAATGAGTTTCACCATGTTAGCCAGGCTGGTCTTGAACTCCTGACCTCAAGTGATCCGCCCTCCTCAGTCTCCCAAAGTGCTAGGATTATAGGTATGAGCCACCACTCCTGGCCAACATCAGCTATTTTATAGTACAAGCATGCACCATGCAATTTTGAGGATATACTTAAGCTAAAAATCATTTTACTTTTTGTTTATCTGAAATTTACACATATCTGAGTATCCTGTCCTGGAGCCCACATTTCCTGACCCTTGTTTCAGATCTCTTTCTTCCCCAGCTTGTTCCTCCTTCTCGAGGACTAAGAATGAATCAGAACTTTTCTGTCCTTCTCATTGAGGAGAAAGAACAAATCACTAACAGTTGAGTTTATACCCAGGATTTTATATTTTAAAAATTTGCATCGAGCTTCAAGGTTATCAGTCCACATACAGCTCCGTTTTCTGCCCCCAACCCCAATCCCTGCACCTGTCACAGACAGTGAGCCCCAGAGCCACCCTGCCATGGTTCCACAGAGCCTAGGAGGCAAGGCTTGGGAAGGCATGGGGATCTCCACATCCAAAGCACACCCTCCCATTTTACATAGAGGGCAGCTGACGCCCAAGGAAGGGCCTGTGATCACAGGTAAGGCCAAGGCAGAGCTGTGATTCAAGCCAGGCACAGTGGCTCACACCTGTAATCCCAGCACTTTGGGAGGTGGAGGCAGGTGGATCATCTGAGGTCAGGAACTTGAGACCAGCCTAGCCAACATGGTGAAACCCCGTCTCTACCAAATAAAATACAAAAATTAGCCAGGTGTGGTGGCACGCACCTGTAATCTCAGCTACTGGGGAGGTGGAAGCAGGAGAATTGCTTGAACCTGGGAGGCAGAGATTGCAATGAGTCCAGATCGCACATTGCACTCCAGCCTGGGGGAGGGAGCAAGATTCCATCTTAGAAAAAAACCCAAAAAACCAGGAGAAAGGCAAAGCTGTAATTTAAACCCATGACTGCTAACAGCACTGTTATGTGCATTGGACCCAGGAGCTAGCAGAGGCAGCACCTGAGAACTCCTTCAAAATACAAATTCTGAGCCTCACCCCGAACCTACTGAATCACAGCCTCCAAAGATGGGATTAGCAATCTGTGTTTGTTTGTTTGTTTATTTGTTTGGTTTGTTTGTTTTGAAACAGAGTCTTGCTCTATCACCCAGGCTGGAGTGGAGTGCAGTGGCATGATCTTGGCTCACCGCAACCTCCGCCTCCCAGGTTCAGGTGATTCTCCTGCCTCAGCCTCCTGAGTAGCTGGGATTACAGGTGTACACCACCGCACCCGGCTAATTTTTCATATTTTTAGTAGAGACGGGATTTCATCATGTTGGCCAGACTGGTCTCGAACTCCTGACCTTGTGATCCACCCACCTCAGCCTCCCAAAGTGCTGGGATTACACGCATGAGCCACTATGCCCGGCCAGCAATCTGTGTTTTTAACAGGCCCCCCTGGAGATCCATTGCACTCCAGCCTGAGTGACAGAGTGAGACTCCGTCTTAAAATAATACATACACGCATACATATATACATACATACACAGAAAGCTCTGTGAGAGCTGGGAGTGAGTGGTAAGTCGTCCCACGTGGCGCTACAGGAAAGGGTGTGAGGAGGCCTGAGGTATGGAGCTGGGAACATGGTGAGTCACACGTTTGCACAGATGAGCAGAGGTCTGGGTTGGCATTGGGTTTGACTGCCATGGGTCCTGGAGCAGAGCCATCCAGGAGGCAGCTGCCGGCACTCCAAGGACAAGAGAGAAGTCTGTTTCACACTCAGAGCCCTGGAGGCATCAGTAGCTTCTGCTAGGCACGGAAGACATGGTAGAGGTTGGAAAAGCCACGCAGAAGGGCCAGACGGGGAAAGCCAGAGGAGCCGGGTTGGAACTCTTAACACTCCCGACCCTCGGCCTGGTCTCCAAGCCCAGGTGGGCCAGTGAGGATGCTGGAGCTGGGCCAGCTCATTCCCAGAAGGGACAGGTAGGAGGTTGTTGGGAGACAGAAGGAAACTCTCCCAAACCTGGCAGTACCCATAGTTCCCAATCTCCTGTTGCACAATGGAGTGTCAGGAAACAGCCGGCGGACTTCCCAGGCCGGGCCCATTCCAGGAGAAGGCCCAGGCCAGCCTGTGTTTGCTCTGTTCACAGCGAATCAAGCCCTGGCTACGGTGGCACCCCGTCATGGCCAGCAGCCCAGGATTGGGAAAGTGAGGAAAAGAAGAGCAAGAGAAGGAGAGGCTGGCAGGCGGACTCCAGCTCCCGACTGGGACATGGCCCTCGGTAGGCCATTCTTTCTCTCTAGGCCTCAGTTTCTCTCTCTGCAAAATGGGGCCAATATGCGCTGCCTTTCTTGCCAGGCACGGAGAGGACTGTTGTTCAGTAATAGTAGAGTGATGGAGGCTGAGGCAGGAGAATCGTTTGAACCCGGGAGGCGGAGGTTGCAGTGAGCCGAGATCAAGCCATTGCACTCCAGCCTAGGCAACAGAGTAAGACTTTGTCTCAAAAAAAAAAAAAAAAAAAGGTAGAGTGAAGTGTATGAAATGGAATGGTAGCCAGTTGCTTTTGGACCTGTAGAACCCAGTTTCATATGGTTCAACCCAAGAATACCGCCATTCAGAATAACAATGGCTACGATTTCTTGTGCACGGAC